TATTTATTTATTTGACAGAGAGAGAGACAGCGAGAGAGGGAACACAAGCAGGGGGAGTGGGAGAGGGAGAAGCAGGCTCCTGGCTGAGCAGGGAGCCCGATGCAGGGCTCCCAGGACCCTGGGACCATGACCTGAGCCGAAGGCAGACGCTTAACGGCTGAGCCACCCAGGCGCCCCTAAGTATTGGTATGTTTTAAGGTTTGGTCTTAACCTCCTCATCTTTACTAATTCTATACACGCTTCCTCTATGGTTTTACCATGTCAGATGCTGGTGTCACCCAAATTTGTATTTCCTAACCATCTACTACAAATCTATCTACTATCCAAACCATCTACTACAATATATCCTCATGTAGAGATTCCACAGGCAACTCAAACTTGAAATATCCAAAATCAAATTCATCATCTCCCCCCAATACCTCCATTCACCAAGTGGTCCTTAACAGAAACCTCGCTGCTGCTCCCCCATTTCACCCATCCAAACATCCAGTCCTGGAGGGCCTCCCTTGTAAACATTCAACAAATATATCCATTTCCTTCCCATTGCAGGACCCCTGTTCCTTCTGAAGCCTTATCCTTTATGAATCTCACCTCAGCTATGAATTCAGCTACACTGAATTCCATTCATTTCCTCAGTATACAGGGTCCTCTTGTGCTTTATCCATCCTGTGTCCATGGCCTGAACACTCTTTCCATTTGGCCCCCTCACCTACCTGACTCCTCCTTATCTTTTAGACTCTACTTAATTGTCCCCTCTTCTAGAAGCATTCCCAGTTGCCCTTCATCTGGGCTTGGTGCCCCTCCTCTGTGCTCCACGGGTTCTCATTCACTGCTCATCCTGGCACCAAGCTTACTACTGCATGTATTGTCTGACTACTTTTCTGCAATGCCTCATTCAGCTAGAGTCCTGTGAGGCCAGGGACCTCATCTTGATATGTTCTACTTCTAGCATGTAGTTCAGCTTTTAGAGGAAAGCTAGAGATGGATGAAACACTGAATGAAGCAATGAAACAATTTATGCCTACCACTTTGCCCAATACCATTCCAGGTGCTCCAGAAGATACAGTCCCTGCCCTTCGAGAACATAAAAGCTAACTGAGCAGTTAATACATGGTAACTCTCAACAGATCAACATAGAAGTGACAACCAGAAAATATAAAATGTAAATCCTGGGGGATATCAGAGAAGAGAAAACTCCTTTCTCGGAAGTCAAAATAGACTGTACGGGCAAGATCATTTGGGATAAGTCTTTGAAAATGAGCAGGGGTCAGAAAAACAAAGAGGAGTGCTTTCTACGAAAAGGAAGGAAGCAGGCATATTTGGGAGCTAATGAATACATCTTGCTTGCTAAAACCCTGGGTTCCTGAGGCAAGGGTCAGGTGATAAAATGGGAGATGGAGGCTTGAGTCAGATGAAGCAAGTCCTTAAAGGCCTGCCTGGTAAGAAGTGTGAATTTTATTTTGCAATCAGTGAGGGAGCTGGGAGGCTCCAAGGAGAGAATTCAGGAAGACTGACTATCCCAGGAAGATTCCTCTTGTGATGGCATGTGAGGCTAGTTGGAAGAGTGAGTGATGAAGGTGGGGAATTCAGTGAGGAGATAACTGAAGTCAATGAATCACAAGTTGAAAAACACCCAGATGAGGATCACAGCAACGGGAATGGAGACATACACAAATATAATGACAGAGGGAGAATCAGTACAACATAGAGATAGGACAAAGGAAGTAAAGAACAGGCTGAGGAAGAGACGAGACAGTGGAGGAGGAAGGAGAGAGCCAGAAAAAACGACTAAGGGGGCCACCAAGAAATTGCCTCCAGAGCCTGCCTATGCTGGATGGAAGCTGAAATATGCTTTCTCCAGCGCCCACTCTACTCTGAGGTGTTAGGTTAAAGGAGAGGAGTCAAAGCGGACTCCATGGTTGAATCAAACACTTCATAACTCCCAGTTCACTTCTCAATTCAATTTCTAAATCACTTGGCTACAGTGGATGCACTCAGTGTGTAATGGGCAAGGGGAGCCAGGCCGAGATCTAAATCAATTAAGTTTACCACCTGAGTAAGGCCTCTTCACTTGGCGTGGTTCCATGTGCTTGAATTTCAGTGACCACAGTCTGGTCACATAACACCATTACCCCCAACAGCATGGTTCCAACTTCAGTTGTCACAGTATATTAATGCTGAATTACATAAAGCACAAACTTCACCGCTAGCTTTTTGGTCCAGAAACCCCTGCATGAATAACAGATGCGTATCATGATCACTAATCGATCGTGTCACTTCCACAACTGTCGGCAACTGGTCCCTGCACATCCGTCATTCAATTCATGCACAGATAGACAGCAAACAGGTAGTCGTGTTGCCCTCTCATCTCATGGGAATAAACTCATAGGACATTTTACAAAAGCGCATAATCAAAAGAGGGTGTGCGGTCAACACAAAACGAAAGTGTAACAAAGAAATAAAAAGTGGTAACAGTGGTAGTGAAATTGGAAAGTGATTGTAAAGAAGAAGATGAAGATGTCCCAGAGGAAGTGACATGGAAGGAACACTCGGTTCACAGATGTGAAAGCACCAAGGATAACATGTTGGAAGCGGATCCAAACTCGGGAAGGGACAGGACAATTCAATGCAGCAGAGAAAAGACAGTCCACATCGTACGTGACAAAATGAGGAGAAAGCAAACATGTCCAAACTACTCTTGGTAAGTTCTCAAAGAAATAAAACAGGTTAATTCTTGGTGTTCCTAACATTTTAAATTACAGGGCATTAAACTAATATTACCTTCACTTTTTTTTTTTTTTTTTTTGCATTGCCCTATACATTTATAACCTACAGTAAGAAAGCTTTAATGTTTTGACAAAAAATTTTAAAGGTCATAAAACTGGTCATTTTCCCATTGATTATTAAGGTCATTTTGCTCAGTTTCAGTTTGCAGATCATTTATTTGG